CGTGAGCTGCAGCGTTTCGTTGAATGCCTGCGCAACTTCTCGCAAGTTCGCTGCCCCGCCCAGCTCCGCGCGGCAAAAGTGCCGCTGCGCGCGCTGGCCGACCTCGGCTCGGGCTGCGAGAACGGCGCCCTGAGGAAGGGGGGCGCCAGACGCCTGTGCCTGCAAGATCTCGTCCGGAGAGTGCGGGGAAACCATCGGGGGCAAGACATCAAGCGTCCTGGCGGCCCCCTTCTTCCTGCCCCCTGCAGCCAGCAGCTTGTTGATATGCTTCCATTGCAGCCTGGGCATCTTGGCGTCGGCAGAGGTTCAAGCCTCCAGCGGTCTTTTCGACAAAAACGAATGCGATCGTCATCCGAAGTTCTGGGGGGAACATGTTTGCCCCCGATCAGAAACCACAACACCATATCAGAAAACACACTGGTATCAACAATATTCCCCCGAACAGACCCTGCAAAATAGTATCAGAGGTGCCGCGTGAGCCATGAGCGTAGGATCGACTCTTTCTGAGGCAGCCTATTGGAGATCTCCGACGGCGACTCTCTTCGCAAAGCGATGCAGCGAGAAAACAAAGGCCCAGGCATTCGCGACGGCTGGGGAGCATGCTCGGCGCGGGGTCGCTATCAGAGCAAGTGCGAGTGTCGGTGATGGCCAAATCGAAAATTGAGCGGTCGCAAGGGGCGCGCAAGGTGCATGCCACTTACGCAGCGAACGAACTGCCGCGCGCCCCCATGTGATAAGATCGAAAGGCTAGAGCAGAAAGATGAGGCTGCTTGGGAGACCTGACTGGAGATCCAAAGAATTCCTCTGCACGCGTCTGCGCCTGAGATGCGAGCTCGCGCGCGGTCGTTGAAATCTAACTCCCCATGGGACCGCGTGAAAAGATTGAGCTGGGCAGCAAAAGCGCCGCAATCGCCTTCGTTGCCCAGCCCGCGGGGATCAAGGTCGGAGCGCCCAGGGACATTGGTAGCCGAGGGAGCGAGGACCCACTCGAACATTGCACGTAGGGATGTTAAGAGTCCGCAGGAGTTTCAAGGATTATCATGCTTAGCTTCCCAGAAATGACGTTTTGTCACGATGTCGGAATGTCAGGGCGCAACAGTCAGGTCGATTCGCGGTGTCGAAGCCCCAGGAATAGTGTTCTGGCGCGGCTCTGGATCGTCAAGACGCAACAGTAACGGTGATTCGCTCAGTCGAAGTCCTAGGGTTGGCGTTCTGGCACAATTCCAGATGTTCGAACGGTTGTCTTCCCCCAAGGCACTTCGCTCAATGAAAATGAAGCCGTGTAGGCGCCTGTATCGAGCAAGCTTTGAGGGAAGGATGGTCTATTGCAATATCGTTGATGAGTCTTGGGTTTATACTGGTCCTATTCTTCCTCCTCCTCCTCCACCTCCTTTTCCTCCACCTTCACCTCCTCCTCGTCCTCGTCGTCGTCCTCCTCCTCCTCCTCCTCCTCCTCCTCCTGCTCCTCCTCCTCCTCCCCCTCATCCGTGGGCTCACGAAACATGTTTCATTTGGGCGCTTTAAGCCCCCGAGCGGCGTTCCCCCTCGCGCGCGCGGTAATCAAGAGAGCCCATCGTCGCAATCCCCCATGCCTGCTGGCGAACCTGTTGCAGTGTCAATGTCTGTGAGCAACCCCGATCGACCAGTGGAAAGTGCCGAGCCTGCTTCAGAGCCCCCCAGCGGCAGCTCCCCCTTAGGTAGTGCAGAGAGTGGTGATGCAAAGAAGGCTCAGCTCCCCGCTGGGTTCCTTCCCAACCCGATCCCCCTCGCCGTCCCCTCGGTCCCTTGGGTTTCGGCTCAAGCCTCACTTGGTTTCATATCTTCCCAAAGCAGTGCAGTTTACGCTCACTCGGCAGCTATCTCAGATTCGCTGGCAGTCCATGTTGCTGGTCCGCATGTGCGGCATGTCTCTGCACAATACGCGGGGTGGGTCGCGTGTGTCGAGCACGCCATTGCGGCGCATCACGACCGAGATCAGCCGGAAGAAAATTCGAAGAGGCGTTTTACAACCAGAAGACAGGTCTCACGTGCTGCTGATCCGTTTCTCCAAGGGCGTCGGGTTCAACAAGCAGCGAACTTTCGTGGCGCCCCGCTACAGGGTAATATTGCCAACTGGTGGACCCGAGTGTTTCAGGTGCTCGCGCGTGTACAACGGCATCGTGAACATGGCAGTGGGACGCGCCAGCTGGTCTACCTATATGAGCTCGGGGTTCGCTTGGGCTTCTGATGCGCCCGACGGAGTTCACGAGATGCTGCCGCCAAACAACGCTGAATGTTGGGAGCAATGGGTTTCTCTCTGTCTCGCACAAGTCTATATCCAGAGTCTCGCGACGAAAAAGGATCGACATTCAACCCGTCCTTCAAGGTAGCTATCTTGGTGTCGATCTTGGCTGTGGAAGGCGCTTGGCACAATCTTCCAGACGGCAGCGCATCAGGAAAGCTGGGGCCTTCGAGACAAGACGCTGCGACGGCACGCTTTCGCATCCAAACGATGTATGGCCACGTAGAAGACTGAGTTTGCAGGTCCGCAGGCTGCAGCGACATATGCACACCATTTGTATGGAGTATTCGGTGCTCAACTCCAGCTCCTTCGCCGTCAGCTTGGTTCTGCCTCAGGAGCGCACCGCCGCGGGCGGTGCCTGAAAACATTGTTAGATCGACGTGCACACCAGCAGGACCCAGGAGTTCGGCTACCACAGCTCTGCTTACACCAGTGGCTGCGGACGTGGATTGACAATCCGAACGCGCGCGCAGGTATTCGGAGAGTTTGGGACTCAGTCGTTCAACGCGCGCGGAGTCTACACGTCAACGAACGAGCTCGGCACATGCACGGGCCCATATCGGCGGTGGTGACCTATCCACTGATGAACGCAGGGTGGGATCCCATATCACCGGCGCATTGGAGTCGCTCAGATGAGTTTGGTCTGGAGCCAGTTGGTTGTTTTTTCCAGGCATCAGCGTTGACTCGCAGCATGTGGATACCTCAAACATTTGGCTGCAGCTGCAGGCGAGCACTGCGGTAGCGGACTTGAGCGTGGAGCGGATAACGAGTCGTTGCGGTGGTTTTTGGCGCGCCTGCGCGAAAGGCCACATGGGCATCAACGAGCTCACGCTGACCATCGCTGCAGGTGGATGCTGGACGCGAGCCAGGAAACACGCTGCAGGCCTTTATTCGTCTCCTCTGAGCCTGCGTTGCAACCGGGCCCCAGAATACATGCTACACCGTGTCTGGCTCTGCAGTGCCAACGTCGACGCCAAGGCTTTCACTGAGCCCAACAGGCTCACGCCTAAAGTCCATGCCCAGGATGATGCTGGTAAACGCCTGTGGCTACGGGGTGTGATGCCCAGACATTTGATTGCGATGCCGCCGTCGCCGCCTCGCGGGGACAGCTGGACATGTGTCGACCTACTCGAGCCCGCTTTCGAGGAAGGCGGTCTTGGCGCCGGCGCCGCAAGCCAGGCTTTGATCGTATTCGGTGATGCGTCAGGTGGGCCCGACAGTCGGTGCCCTGCTCTACGACGCGTTAGGCTAAGCATCCTGTCGTGACCGACGCCGTGGCGATGGCCCCCGGCCCCATTGTCGCAGGGCCGCTGCCTGGGCGAGCTCAGTCTGTTCCTCGAGGTGAGCCCCGATGCCTCGAGGTCGCCATCCGAGGATCGATCGGCCACAGTGTTCATCATCGAAAATGAGAACGTATGTCGTGGTTGGTATGCTCAAATGCACTTGTGCCGTGAGAAGAGCGAGCTGTGCGGATTGTGGGCCGAGATTGGCGGCCTTCTTTCCCAGTGGAAATGAGACCCATGTGAGATTTTTGTGATGCAGATCTCGTCTCACTTGTCTGCCCTTGAAGCTTGCGAGAAGAGGCTCCCACAGCGGATGCTTCATGGAAACGAAGTGGCTGACACCCTCGCCGAAGGCGCCGCTAAGCGTTGTAGGATTCCAGAGCATGACCGAGGCCGTCTAGCTAAAGTAGAGGGGAGGCGTCTTTAATGAGGAGGCGCCTGCTTCGGGCCACCCTGGATGCCGCGACTCCTGAGCGCGAGGCCGCGAAGGATGCTGCGCCTGGCGAAGATGATCGCGTTCCGCTCGTGGCCGCCCCGCCTCCCCCCCTCCAGCTGGTGCAGCTCGGTTCAACTCTGTGCACACGCTCAGCGAGTGTGGATTTAAATGCACCGCGTGCCGCAGCAGCGGCACTAAGAGCACCCTACAGGAATGGCTGGCCTCTCCCTGGCTTCCCTTCGGGCACATCAATTCTGTAATCTCTCGGGGGCGTACAGGTCAGAAGCTGCACTTAGCTGTGCACGCACTGCTATTTCACCACACTCTTGGGGTCTGGATCTGTGGGGCTTGCGGGTTCTTCTTCACGGCTAACCTACCAGCGGTGCTCAGGCTTGAGTGTGATTTCAGGGCCCTCAGTGCCACCAGGAGTCGTACCTGGATAGGTTTCATAGAGGCCTCATCCCAAAGGTTCTGAACGCAGCCGGGAGAGCGGCTCGCCAGGCTGATGGGTACAGTAGTTCATTCCATTGACACCATCATGTTTCTATGTCTTATTTCCTGTGTCCTATTTACTCCTCCTCCTCCTCCTCCTCCTCCTCCTCCTCTCCTCGTCCTCCTCGTCCTCCTCGTCCTCCTCGTCCTTCTCGTCCTCCTTCTCCTCCTCTTCCTCCTCCTCCTCCTCGTCCTCGTCCTCCTTCCTCCATCCTCCTTCTCCTCCTCCTCCTCCTCCTCCGCCGCCGCCTCCCTCCCCCTCGGGCATTCTCCTCCTCCCTTTCCTCCTCCTCCTCCTCCTCCTCCTCCTCCTCTTCCTCCTCTTCCTCCTTCTCCTCTTTATCCTCCCTCCTCTTCCTTCTGCGCCTGCGGACCGCTCGTCGCCGCCGCGGTCACACTCGCGAGCACCGGCGCCAGTGCCAGCGTCGCCGCCTCCTCCACCCGTCGCCATCGTCGTCATCGTCGGCGGCGACGTCGACGGCGGCGCCGTCGGCGGCAACCCCAGCGCCTCGCGCAGGCCCAGCTGCGCGGACTCCCGCACTGCCTCCCCCAGCGCCTCGAGCTCGCCGCCGAGCGCCGCGCGTTCCGCGCGCCCCGCCGCCATGCCAGCCCTGACGTCGCCCAGCGTCTTGCCGAGCTCCTCGCGCTGGCGGCGCTCGTCCTCCAGCGCGCGAGCGAGGCCCCGCAGTTGCTCCTTCTCCTGCCGCAGCTCCGCGGCGAGGCTCTCGAGCCCGCTGGCCAGCACGGAGGGCGGCGGCGCGCCGGGAGCGCGCGCGGAGAGCTGCTCGACGCGCTTGGCGAGGCCCTCGATCATCTCGCCGTGGCCTCTGGCCTGCCGCTGGCAGTTGGCCTCCAGCTGCGACAGCCACCGGTCGCCGGAGTCCACCCTGCATTCCAGGTGCTCCAGTCGCCCCTGCAGGCTGTCCGCCACCTCCGGGTGCAAGCTGATGCTCAGGCTGTCGAGGCGGCTGCGCAGCACGCGCACCTGCTGCTCCGCCACCAGCGAGCTGCTGCGCACCCCGCCGATCTGCTGCCGCATGTCCTCCATCTCGCGCAGCAGCCTTCGGGGCCGCACTGACCGGGGCCAGCACAGGCCTGGGTCTGCCAGGGCCCTGTCGCGAAGCCCGGCTGGCTGCTCAGCAGCTCCCGAACCCAGCTGAGCGGAGGGCGGAAATGGGGGCAAGACCTGGGTCAGCCAGAGGGGATTGTCCGACCCCCCGTGATAGAGGCATCTCAGATGGGGTCGGAGTAGATGGGGTCGGAGGATCGCGCCGCATCGCCGACGCGTCGGCGATGCATCGGCGACGTCGGCGATGCATGGGCGCCGACGGCGTTGAGAACATCGAGCTCCGCGTCCGCCCATGCGGTGCGGCCCTCTGGCCCCGTCTGGGACGCCTAGACACCAGTGCTGGCCCCGCCACGGGAGCCCCGACAACCTTTCCACGTCCATCGCCGGCCCGAGCCCTGCAGCCTGCCGCGGGTGCGCCACCTCCCGCGACAGGTCGCGCGGCCGCAGCGGAGACTCCGCCGGCGGCGACCCCGCGCGCTCGGCCCGCGGCGGGCCCCCCCAGGTCCTCCGGGGGACAGGCCCAGACATGCACGGTCCTGAAAACATCAGGAGGGAGCTGCCTTCTGAGTCTTCGGCCGGTCCAAGACACGATCGCGCCGTCGAAACACGAAAAACGACGGGAGGTGTTTGGCGATCTTCGGCCTCTGGAAGCCCTTACTGGGCCCAAGGATCGTCAAAGAAAGACTCAGGATGAAACGCTGGTCGCGGGGAAAGGGTCGGGACTTCCAGGGACCCCGCACTGAACAAATCAAGACATCGCATGTCTGGGAAAAGGTATCGATACCGCTGCTCCACGGACCTCTTCTGCGGGGCGCGTTCCGACCAGGACTCCGAGGTGAATCCGGCTTCGGCGACGAGGAAAGCGCAGCGGCATCGGCACGGCGGGTCCGCGTCGTGCCGACTTCGGCACTTGTCTCTAACACCGCGGGATCGCCCTACCCTACCTTGAACGATCGGCCGCTTCCGAAATGTCAAATCTTTCGTTCCACATCGACCGATTCTGGGTCGCCAGCGGCGCACAGTCGGCCCGTATCATAAGGATGCGCCATAGAGACGCAAGGGCCTTGGACGCCCATGTCGAAGCTGCTCGAGCGGGGCGCGGCCGACGAAAGTGGCCAAGGACGGACCGAGGAGGCAAGGATGCAAGGGTGTGCATGGGAAGCTTGCCCATCCTTGCTATGCGGGTTGACTGTACGACGCAAAACGCTGGCGGCGGGGTCGCCGCCGGTCGTCGCGACGCGAACCTGCCGCACCTTCTCTTCCTCGGCTACACGCAGGAGTGACCCTGGGCACGAGTGGCCCTTAGTGCGCGGCCACGGGGAACCTTTCGGGGAGACCACCAGGCGCGCACGCTGCTGCTGTCGCATCGCATTCAGCGATCGGGGGGGGTCCTGAGGGCCCGCACCAAAGGTCACTCTGGTCATGGGGTCACTCTGACGTGCAATCGACCCTCCTCGGAGGTCCACGGCAGCCCCGCCGCCCGCTCCGGCGAGGGCGCCTGCAGCAGCCGCCCTGGGCTCACCGAGCGCGCCTGGCGCGGCATGCCTGAGCAACCAGGAAAGGGCCCCTAACCTTTTGGGAGGGGACCTAATTTATCGACGTGCGCGTTCTACCACCCGCAAGCTAACTACCCGCACGTGGCCTGGATCCGCCATGCGGGATTTACGATACATTGCATCGATGCAGATTTTTTTCGGACGTTTGCGAGTAGGCATTTTGCGAGTAGGGAACGCGCTCGGTGAAGTTACGAGGGCCGAAAACATTAGGGGTGTTTTTTGTTTCCTGCTGGTGTAGCGAACCCAACCGCGCACATGTATCATCCCTCATGCACGTACGGGGACCTCGGTGAAGCCACGTCTTCAGTGTGTTATGGGGGTCAGGGGTCCTTTGGTCCTCCATGAATGCCCGCGACGCCCGCGCCGCGGTCGGACGAGGTGGGCAGCGGCAGGACGCCTGTCGGGGATCTGATGACATGGGCCAATCCAAACCCTGCCCAGTCAGGCTTTGCAAGATCCGGCAGCAACATTGCAGGATCCTGCACCCCAATTCCTGTCAATGCAACCCTGCGTCTGCGGGATCCTGCAAAATCCGCTGCTCTGGTTGACATCCGTTCACATTGACCCCCGTCTCTTGAGCCCCGAGCCTGGCGCGCGCATGGCCGCCGAGGCCGCGGGAGGCATGCCGGCGCGAGCGCGCGCGCGCGCCCGGGGGGTCGCCCGATCGATGGCTCGACGGCGGGGGGGCGGCCGCCGAGCGCGGCGGCCAGGCGCGCGTTTCGGAGATGGGGGAGGGGGGCGGTAAAGGGGGGAAGGGGTGGCCTCGTCGTCGTCCTCGTTCCCTCCCCTTCTTTTTCCTTGTTTCCTCCTTGTCCTCCTCCTCCTCGTTTCCTCCTCGTTTCCTCCTCGTTTCCTTCTCGTTTCCTCCTCGTTTCCTCCTCCTCCTCCTCCTCCTCCTCCTCCTCCTCCTCCTCCTCCTCCGGCCCCTTCTCATCCTCCTCCTCGCCGCCGCCGCGCCGACGCACAGGTCGATCCACAGCCCGCCGCGCGCGGCCGTGCCAAGCGCCTATGGCTGCCCGAGCACGTGGCGACGGCTCACGCGGTGTAGCCCACGTCCGCCTCCGCCGCACCCGGATGGGGTAGCGTTGGCCCTGCCGACGAAGAAGAGGAGGCGGGGGGGGAGGGAGGTCGCCCGCGCATCGACAGAGGAAAGAGGGAGGAGAGTCTCCGCTGGCCTCCAGGGGGGAGGAGTGCAACCGGTTACGTCGTGGGTCACTCCCCTCCTGGTTAAAACTAGGTAATCCTCAGAGCACCTAGTGGATCGTCTTGCACAGAAGGTAAGTGGAGAACGTTGAGTATATGATGTCGACTTTGTCGCAATAGTTTGTGCAGCTTCTTCTGGGCGTCAATCGGTACGCGGACGCTTCGTACCCTGTGTGGCCAAGAACGGTGAGTCCTCGGAGATCTTCACCGGCTGCGGGTTGTTGATGTCGCCCGCGTCAAGTACTATTGGGTGCTCCCGGAAGTCGCTGTACTAGTTGATGAAGTGGCCGAAGTAGCGGGCTCCCCCGTTCTTGGTAGGGTTGTAAACGAGGTTCTCGTTGTTCTTGAAGATGATGTTCTGGTGGGGCGGGCCGTAGAGACCCCGTTTGGTTAACATTTCCGTGGGGGGGGGGTACTGGAAATCAGGACCATGCATAGGTAGGGACTTAGCTTTCTTCAGGTCGCCGACGTTAGGCGTAGGATATGAAGGTAACTGCGGCATGAACTGGGATGCATACCTGGAAGACAGTTGTGTCCGTGTAGTCTTCGGTCTTGATGATCAGGCAGCTGGGGCGTTAAGCCAGTAGTTGCGCTGCAATGGCATTGTGTTCTGCCAGTGCCTTCACGCTCGTCCGGGACTGGTATGCGTAACCTCGGAGAAGGGGGGGGGACAAAGGAGGAAAAGGAGGAGCGAGCGAGCGAGCAGAAGCCGAGGGGCAGTTGGATCCAGGCAGAGAGGAGGCAGGCACACCCCTCACCCCCCCGCCCCAGCACCTACACGGTGGAGCCCGAAGGCCAGGACCACCTTGCAAGCACCAGGGAGAGGAGCGAGAGGCATGCCTACCCCGTGGCAGGCCGCGCGGGCGGCCAGGGCGCACGGGGCCTGCGGCAGGCCCGTGCTCACCTGCACGAGGCCCGCCGCGGCGGAGAAGAGCACCCACAGGGCTCCCAGCGCCACGAGCGGGGAGCCAGCGCACACGTGGTGCAGCACGAGGACCACGTCACAGAAGTACACGTGGAAAGCGAGCGTGGCGTGGTCATACATCGCCACACTCAAGCCGCACGGCAAAACAGGCTGGACACCCCCGCCGCATAGAGGGTCCAAGAGCCAGCCATGCTGCAACCCAAGGCCCTCGGACGGACGTCGCCCCTCGGCGCGCCCGCCGCTTGGAGGGTCCAAGAGCCAGGAGGAGGAAAAGGAGGAGGAGGAGGAGGAGGAGGAGGAGAAGGACACGCCGCGCTCGATGAAGCGCGCGGCCCTGCCCCTGCCTGAGCCGCCGCGCAAGCAGAGCAGGGACCAGGAGCTCTTTGCTACGAATTGGTCCATACAACATACGTGCTGAGCCGCTAGCTACCATGTGCCGGCAAGTTACTACAGAGCAGACGGTGTATTATCCCTCCTCGCCCTACTACCACCACCCCTGCGTGACAGGCTGTCTCGACATAGTCAGGTGGTACGCATTCACTTCACCAAAAATGCTGATACATAGCGGCAGTACACCCAATACCACCGACGCTATCCGCTATGCTGTGTACTCCATGCTGGTGGCAGATACGCTAGCGTACGGCTCAAGCTTCAGCTTGTTCCACCCCTACCTGGGTGCTGCCGTCAACATCTACATGTCGCGCCGCGCCAACTATTACCCGAAGCACGAGACGACTGGCCCCGACGAGACCACGACCCCGTACGCAGAGGGACCGCACGGCCAGATCGGTGTCTGGGTCCAGAACTTCTACCCGCTCCCATTTACTCTGTCGGACGGGTCCTCGTCCAACTGCTGGACTCAATTACTCGCCAAGATGTCCCAGAACCAGAACGGCGCCTACGGCTTCTACGTCTCCGACATCCAGGCGGCCTTCCAGCACTTCTACGAATACGCCGTGCCCAGAGACGTACACGTTTTCAAAGCTACCCGTCCAGAAGGCTCCTCTTCCTCCTCCTCCTCCTCCTCCGCCTCCTCCTCTTTTTCCTCCCTCCTCTTCCTTCTGCGCCTGCGACCCGCTCGTCGCCGCCGCGGTCACACTCGCGAGCGCCGGCGCCAGTGCCAGCGCCTCCTCCTCCTCCTCCTTCTCCTCCTCCTCCTCCCTCCTTGCCCCTCCTCCCTCCTCCCTCCTCCCTCCTCCCTCCTCCCTCCTCCTCCTCCTCCTCCTCCTCCTCCTCCTCCTCTTCTTCCTTTATTCCTTTTCCTTATGAAAAACTGTTCCATGTCGCACCCCGAGGCCAATTTTTAGGGCGGTCCGGGCGTTTCGCCTGAGACTTCCTCACCGTTTCGCCTGAGACTTCCTCACCGTTTATAACCCTGAAGCTTAAACATTCACAACAGCTTCACAGATGGAGGGCGGGTCGTTTTCAAAATGTGGCTCTCGCCTAAGCGCCGCGCACATGCGTTTTCAAAAATTTGCAAGAGCTTCACGGGTCGAGGGCGGTTCCTTTTCGAAATGTGGCTCTCGCCTAGGCGCCGCGCACATTCGTTTAAAAAATGCAAGAGTTTCACGGATTGAGGGCGATTCCTTTTCAACATGCAGCTCTCGCCTAAGCGCCGCGCACATTCGTTTTAAGCATTTGCAAGAGCTTCACAGCTTCACATGATCAGCGTAATAGAAATAACGTTCTGGAAGGATTCAGGAACATGAGGGTGCAACAGTTACGTTGATTCGCGGGATTGAAGTCCCAAGAATGGCGTTCTGGCACGATTCAGCGGGAATAAACCCCTTGTGGGGGCCTATGAAAATGGAGCCTGGAGGGAGGGTTTATTCCAACATCGTTGATGACTCTTGGATTTACACTGGTCCTCCTCCTCCTCCTCCGCCCTCCTCCTCCCTCCTCCTCCTCCTCCTCCTCCTCTTCCTCCTCCTCCTCTTCCTCCTCTTCCTCCTCCTCCTCTTCCTCCTCCTCCTCCTCCTCCTCCTCCTCCTCCTATTCGTGGCCATGGAACGCGTGGGGCTTTGGGGCAGGATTTATTCCCCAACCCTCCTGCGTGCTGGGTCCTCGTTTTGAATCCGCAGCGCCGCCCGTCTCATCGTGCCTCCTGCCTCCACTCCCCTTCTCTACAATTACTCAATATGAATATACTCTCCCTCTTCCCCTGATGGCGTCCGGGTGATAGCCGCGCACCCTCCGCGTACTGTTTTTTTACACACAGGATGCCCGACAAATCCTGGGAAACGACTCTCGCTGAGGCGCCGGCGTCATTTTTTCTCAAAATGCTGCTCTCGCGCCGGCGTCATCTTTTCCCAAAATGCTGCTCTCGTTGAGGCGCCGGCCTCATTTCTGCTCCCGAATCCTTCCCCTGATGGCGTCCGGGTGATAGCCGCGCACCCTCCGCGTACTGTTTTTTACACAGGATGCCCGAAAAATCCTGGGAAACGACTCTCGCTGAGGCGCCGGCGTCATTTTTTCCCAAAATGCTGCTCTCGTTGAGGCGCCGGCCTCACTTCTGCTCCCGAATCGTTCCGAATCTTTTTTTTTTTTTCAGCGCAATTTTGGAGGGGAGGAGGGGGAGCGGACACAGCAGCACGATGCCAAGCTCAGCGACGCAATCATGAGACCACTGAGCCACCTCAAATGCCGTGCGTCAGAATGGAGTTGGAGCGCCCGGCAGCTGCGAAAGATGGCTTATAAGAGTGGCCGCCCTCTCCGCATTGCCCCCGGACCGGAAGCAAGGAGGCGGCGCGCAAGGAGCACCACAACTAGCGGGCGAAGTGCCATACATCTGACGCGTGCACTCCCCAGGCTTCTGAATGCGGCCCTACCGCATATCAAGACGGCCACGCTGTCGGCGTAGGCGGCCGGCACCACAGGACAATGCGGGCTCGTGGCGACTCCCTGGTCAGGGAGCGGCCGGCCAAACCGGAGGGCCCATCACCAGCCGCCTCCGCGTGCACCGGCGCAAGCGCCAATTACTGCCCCTCGATGCGGGCTCGGGGGGGAGCGAGAAGGAGACCAGAAGAGGAGGCGAAGAGCAGGCCGACCCCGAACGGGGACAGCCAGCCTTCCGCCTCCGGGAGGCGAGAGCGGGAGGAAAGAGAAGGAGGGGGGGAAGTTGTTGTGCCGCAACTCGCCTGACCCGCGGCCTCCGCCGCCCTGCCGGATGGGCCGGGGGGAACGCCGAGCGGACGTCAAAACGCGAATTTCGAATGTCACGGATTCGGTGCGGCGCCGCACCCCTGGAGGAGGGGGGAAGAGGAGGACGAGGAGGCGGAGGCGGAGGGAGGAAGGAGGGGGGAGACTGCGAGCTCATATCGAGCACTCCGGCCTCGAGGCGTCCAGCCGGCCAGGATCCACAGCGCGGCACCGCGACACGGAGGAGGAGGCGGAGGGAGGAGGGGAGGCGAGAGGAGGCCGAGGGAGGAAGGGAGAGCGAACAAACACACGAGAGAACGCCCTGCCCCAACAGAGCGTGACTTGCCAGCAGACTGGCCAGACTGGGAAAA